TATGCGTGCCTGATTAGTGAGAACGATATGCGTGCCTGATTAGTGAGGACGATATGCGTGCCTGATTAGTGAGTACAATATGCGTGCCTGATTAGTGAGAACGATATGCGTGCCTGATTAGTGAGGACGATATGCGTGCCTGATTAGTGAGTACAATATGCGTGCCTGATTAGTGAGAACGATATGCGTGCCTGATTAGTGAGGACGATATGCGTGCCTGATTAGTGAGTACAATATGCGTGCCTGATTAGTGAGTACGATATGCGTGCCTGATTAGTGAGGACGATATGCGCGCATGATTAGTGAATACGATATGCGTGCCTGATTAGTGAGGACGATATGCGCGCATGATTAGTGAATACGATATGCGTGCCTGATTAGTGAGGACGATATGCGCGCATGATTAGTGAATACGATATGCGTGCCTGATTAGTGAGGACGATATGCGCGCATGATTAGTGAATACGATATGCGTGCCTGATTAGTGAGGACGATATGCGCGCATGATTAGTGAATACGATATGCGTACCTGATTAGTGAGGACGATATGCGCGCATGATTAGTGAATACGATATGCGTACCTGATTAGTGAGGACGATATGCGCGCATGATTAGTGAATACGATATGCGTACCTGATTAGTGAGGACGATATGCGCGCATGATTAGTGAATACGATATGCGTACCTGATTAGTGAGGACGATATGCGCGCATGATTAGTGAATACGATATGCGTGTCTTCGCTGCTGCTCAGCCATCAACACAAACACGGCTTCGTTGTTGGCTGCGAGTGTAAAAGGCAAGGTCGTCTCTAATTTACGTTTACAGGCTGCCGGACCTTTCCTTCATACATCATTTAGGCACATACATACAAATTAGCTGGTGCGTGATGCATGCTGGTTTCTCTTGACGTGAAATGAGAATCATCGCCGCTTTACCGACGGCCAGCTATTTAGACCGCTGTTGCCCCTCCAACCCGCCCTCGCGAGGGCTGCCGATACATCTGGGTGCATTAATACGTGCTTGTACACGGGGACAGTATGTAGTGGCGGCCAGTATAACTTACAAATACTAATCGCCACTATTTACCATGCTATTGGCCTCGTGTATAGGCGCTACCGGCCACGGAAGGACCCAATAACCCGTTACATGAGGCCAGTATAGCATGATAATTGTTGCAGTTAGCAGCTAGAAAGATAGCTCTGGTGCCGTTATTTATGACCCATTGCTGTCATTTGTGCCCAGTTTTGGTTAGCTCACAGTTCTTATACTTTGTTCCAGTGGTGCTGTTTAGTCCCAAAGCTTTTATTTAGATTTATGGGCAAGATTTCAAACATGTACGTATATATTATTCATGTTGAGGCGGCATGCGGCGAGCCCATGTTGAAGGAAAAGATGATCGTATAATTCAAGGCTGCGGTGCTGTTCTGAGTCACACATGCTGCGGGCGTTCAAAACCAACTTTAAAATCGATGCGTCACGATGAAAACGCAACTTAGGACCATCGCACAATTGATTCAGTATCAGGACTGACGTCAGTGATAAGTGTGGACCGTGAACAGGTCAAGTTCAGAGCAGACTTCATTGACGGCGTCATGCTCCCTGACTGCGCCACTGTACCATGACTGGACCACTGCCCCCCTCCCAACTGTGCCATAGTCCCTGACTGCGCCATTATATCAACGACGTCTTCAAGTCAAGCAGTTCATCCTCTAGTCTGGGGCCATTACGCCTATACGGCCTCCCATTCATCACTCCAGGCAATGTCTCAGTTTCTTGCTAAAATATCCGTGCTGCGCTTGTTTCTTTCTTCTTCTATTCCAAATTTCGCTTACCATGGGATAGGTGGTCATAAATATCGATTGAAATTACTTTAGTCTATATGAACCTATTAAGTGATTACAAGATCAGTTTAACTTTAAGCGCAACGGGCCGTTGGAGATCAGACGAGGCAGCGATGGTCAAAAAGTGCCCATTTGATTTAGCTCTGCGCTCAGCAGCCCAAACGGAACCAATATAAGTGGAACCAATATAATTGAGTATTGATCAATGCTGCGGATAATTCTTTACGTAAATTAAAGGCTTAGAGACGCCATTTGACCTTGAGCCATCCACTCCCCATTTAGTGAAAAGTGGGCGATTTAGTTTAGCTGTTTATGCAGCTGTTGAAGCAGCTGTTTAGGCAGCAGTTTATGCAGCTGTTTAGGCAGCAGTTTAGGCCGTAATTTCTACAGCTGTTGCTACACTGTCAGTCCACAGACACGGACCGAACAGCTGAGCCTATAATGCCGTATCTGACCGTCGGACAATCTCTGGCTAAATATTCGTGACTGCAAGCAGAATAGATTTTATTTTTGAGAATACAGGCTACTAGCAGACGTCACAGCGTTATATTTTTATAATTAATTTCCTGTGAAATTTTCTTGTTATTTATCATAATAGTTTTCAAAGTAAAATAAAATCGAGGATACCATCGGCAACCCTGCGGCCGAACATTCAGTATATCATGCCGTGAGACCTTGTGTGCAGACTACGCACTTTACGATGGTTTGTCTAATTGTAAATATGATAATTTGTTCCCGCATTAAATAAAACAATGAGAACCTTGCTTGTTTCAATGGGGTCTCCTAAATAATACTTTAGCCTGCATCATCGCAGCACCAACTGATGACGAAAAAAATTCGTAGAGTTTTTTGCCTTGGGAGAAATTGCTCCCGGAAGAAATATATATAGAGGACGAGTTTTTCTGCTATAGGAATATAGTAAGAGTTTCTACGATATAAGAAGAAGTAAGAGGAGAGTTTCCCGCTGTAGGGTATACTAGCAGATGATCAGTTCACCCGTCACCTCCTCCCCAGGCCGCCTGTGGCAGTCAAGACGTCCGACGATATCCTGAGTGCTGACCTTGGCTGCACGCACACATTGCGTGAGCGTCAGGAACAAATGGCAACTGGGCCGGTGGCAATGGCATGGAAATGGCAGCTTTGGCAGTTGTGGCAACTGGGCAGATGTGTCAGCTGTTCAGGCGGCCAGGTGGTGGCGCTGGTAGATGTGGCAGGTGGCAGCGGTGTTAGATGGGCAGGTGGCAGCGGTGGTAGATGGGCAGGTGGCAGCGGTAGTAGATGGGCAGGTGGCAGCGGTAGTAGATGGGAAGGTGGCAGCGGTAGTAGATGGGCAGGTGGCAGCGATAGTAGATGACAGGTGGCAGCGGTAGCAGATGGGCAGGTGGCAGCGGTGGCAAGTGGGTAGCCGCCAGTGGTGGCAGATGGACAAGACGCAGATGGCGCGGTCGCGTGACCACATCGCGTGTCGTCTGCTCGCCCGAGCCATCGTCTGTCCGCCAACCGTCTGATCATGGCGCCATTTATTCGTCTGTTTCCTATATCATTATTTTCCTAAATCGCAAGCTAACAATGAATTTAAAAATATATAAAGCGACAAAGCAAATTCATTATATATTAATTGAAAACGATTCAACTAAATTTATGTACAATCCATTTACAATAAATTACAATTTACAATCAACAGAGACAGCCTAATTTGATCCAGAAAAATTCAAGCGTAAGTACCGAAATAATGAGATAACGAGCACAAAGTTCTATCGATCTAACCTTTCAAGCGTTGAAAACTGTGAGCCTTGATAAAGCAAACTTTCCATATAAAAAGATACAACGAATCTAGATTCCCTGAATCCGAGTAACCGGAAGAACCAAAAATATTAAAATAAGAAGAAAGGGACACAAGAACGTTCAGCGTGAAGGCGCACCAAATAATGAGGGAGGTGAGCCAGTGGCAGTTCAGAGCGATAACTCGTGCCACGATGTTCAGCAACCCTGATGAGCTGCTCAGCAGAGCGACTATCCTGACCATCATGTTTTACAAAATGACATAATACTCAGTCAATCAAATGTCTGGCACCGAAAAACGCGCATAAGAGTAGTAAGTGCTGTGCGGAGTAAGAGCAGTAAGTGCTGTGCGGAGTAAGAGTAGTAAATGCTGTGCGGAGTAAGAGTAGTAAATGCTGTGCGCAGTAAGAGCAGTAAGTGCTGTGCGCAGTAAGAGCAGTAAGTGCTGTGCGCAGTAAGAGCAGTAAGTGCTGTGCGCAGTAAGAGCAGTAAGTGCTGTGCGCAGTAACAGCGCAGGGTTGCCTTAACTACCAACAAACACATATTAAAGCTTCACTCCGTAGGTCACGGAAGCCTGCGGCGCAATCAATTCAACTCAAACGTCAAGTGCAGTTAATGTTTTGTTAGTAGGGCGCTGTTGAAGTAGGTTGAATCAACCGCTGCACTAGGTTGACGTCAGCATATAATTTACAGGATAAATGCCTTCTAATTATGACAATCTTAAGTCAATAGAATCGTGACTCCCATTAGAAATTAGGGCTGACATATAAGCGGCCGGCCGTCAGCCATTAACTTAATTTTTTTGATTCATGGAAGATCCTCATGAGGGCAGACAATCCACGCCGGAATGATTGCGCCATTAAGCCAATCAGTTCTGGATGGTAGTTGAATGGTGGCTTCATACAATCATTTCCGGGTGGGGAGTTGGATGATGACCCGACACAATCATTTCGAGGTAGGAATTGCTGGAGGCAGGTTCTAACGTCAGCATTTATATAGACATGTCGCCGATTTTAAGTATCACAGAATTTTCACAGCTAGTTGCGGTCTCGAACACGCAACTCAGTGTACCAATTTTGCTGTGCTTAACCGACGGGTCACCTTGCTGATTTTTACCAGAACTGTCGCAGGTAGCTGAGCCAGGAATCAAACCCACAACTCGCAGCTCTAACCTTGGTTTTCTGACCTGTATGACCCACTGGGCCACTCACATGGGTGATATGAAATCGGAAATGTGCAACAGATCAATTTCAATTCCATTCCAGATACAGCTCAGACAGAAAAGCTAAAAATTTTCAATTATAGTCTTTAGAAATAATATTGACCATCACTGTGATGTTCAGGGTAATAAAGATCCCACTAGTGTCGTACTTACCCCAGGGAGCGAGGCTGCGTTATGGCGACGTCAGCCGCCATCTTAGACACGATGGCTCATATACCGCTTCTTTTTAATACTTTAAGTTTCTACCTCTAGAAATAAAGACAAATATGAAGCAGGTAATTTATACAATGAAAGTCCTACGCAGTATATATATATAATCATCGTCAATAACGCGTGCGTCGCAACTGCCATTTTCATGATTTTGGTCGCCACACTTCAGTACAAAGAAGATTTCTGAATAAAAATGAATATTCTAGTGTTATTTAGAAAGCTTAAAAATTATTTTAGAAAGCTAAAAACCAACAAAGCTGTTTTTGATCAGTATAATGTAATTTTTCTATAAAATAAATGTTCGAGTTCAATGCAAGGCGGGAGACAGCTCAGACAGGCGACTTACGCAACATTGACCGTAGAAACTGCTAAGCACGATTTTATTCCAAAAAGTTGAATTAGAAATAAATATCATGAGACCCTTCCAAATACTTATAAGCAGCTTGTTCAATGATATTTCATACAGATTATAGGTCACTTCAGTTCACCATCTTGCAATGGAAATCATCACTTCTGTTATACACCAGGAACTACGCGCAACTGAACTCAACTAATTTTAGTAAATTAGGCAACTGAACACTGCGACGGGAAACATTTTCCAGCAACTAATGGTGTGCTGTCGATCAGTCATATTATCCCTATAGCTTAGTAGCATCGCGTGTGTCATAATTTTTAACAAATTTTGCAACTTCTGTTTCAGCATATGGAAAACACAATGGAATACATTCGTGCAAACATTGGAAAGTCATTTTGAACAGTTTTCTCAGTTCTAACAGTTTCGATGAACGTGACACGATTGAGGCCATAATTTTCAGAGCACTCATGTGGATTGTGATGCCCATTCCTATATAGGATAAGAGCATAATTTATTTAGCAGAATCAGATCATGAGTAAAGGATGCGTATATAAGTTCTATAGCAATAAACTCTCTTTATTGTTGCGGTGAAATTAATTTTATTTGTGAATACATTTTCAGTGAATGTTGACAATCATAATATGAAGGTAGATGATAAAAAATTTGTATAAATGTTAATGGTAGTGACAACTTAAGTAAAAAGTTTATATTTATAAAGAAAACCATAACAGTTGCAATAAGAAATTTGTAACTCTACTATAAATTAATTATTCATCATTCTTAAGTTCATCGTAATTACAAAGCGTCGACGACCCTCAGTAAAAAAATACCCTTGCTTCCAACCGCCTCCTCGTACGTTGTTTGCTATGGTCGCGAACCCTGGGGTTACCTCTTGACAAGTGTGAAGTAACAAACTACGCACGAATGTTTACTGAATCCGTCTAGAACCTAACAAGTTTCTAGTTCTTAAAAAATTGATATCTAGTTACATTTAAAACAGAAATGTTGCTTTTGAGTAAAAGAAGATCCACGTTTGTTATGAAGTTACACTGCGTATATACCCACTGCACATTACCCACTACACATAAACCCGCCTTCCACTCGAGAAAGAGAAGAACACTGACTTGTATGAAGCCTTGAAATCTGTATCAAGACCAAAGTCATTACCAATCGACCATGAACAGCACGTCACCCTGATCACCATAGAGATGAGGATGACGTGAGGCGGGCGGGCTCGCCTGGTACTACGCCATTAAACTTCAGTCCGGGCTGGGCTTGCTGACCAACTTTGAAATGCATGGAGTTTTGTGTGCTCAGGGCGATGTGTACATGAAGTGTCGTCAGGTCAGGGTAGATAGGAGGGGAGGTTAGGGCAGAGGGGAGATTAGGGCAGAGGGGAGGTCAGGGCAGAGGGGAGATCAGGGCAGAGGGGAGGTAAGGGCAGAGGGTGGATCAGGGCAGAGGGGAGGTCAGGGCAGAGGGGAGATCAGGGCAGAGGGGAGGTCACGGCAGCGGGGAAGTCAGGGCAGAGGGGAGATCAGGGCAGCGGGGAGGTCACGGCAGCGGGGAAGTCAGGGCAGAGGTGAGGTCAGGGCAGAGGTGAGGTCAGGGCAGAGGAGAGGTCAGGGCGGAGGGGAGGTCAGAGTAGTCAGGTCAGGGCAGAGGAGAGGTCAGAGTAGTGAGGAGGTCAGAGCAGAGAGGAGGTCAGAGTAGAGGGGAGGTCAGGGCAGGATCTTGAGCTCGGAGACTCTCCTGTGACCTCGCGCGTGCTTCCTGAGGGTCACGAGGTCAAGCAGTGCGATGCCCCGCCACGTGCGCACGCCCTTCAGCACGTGCAGGTTGGTGCACGTGTCGACCAGCAGCTGAGCGGCCTCGATGCCCAGCACGCAGTTGTACAGCTCCACCACCTGCTCGAATGTATACAGGTATACAGGTTGAGCTAGTAAACCTGTTCGAAGTAAACTGGACAGCTCCACCACCTGCTCGAAGGTATACAGGTATACAGGTGGAGCTAGAAAACCTGTTCGTAGTAAACTGGACAGCTCCACCACCTGCTCGAAGGTATACCGGTATACAGGTGGAGCTAGAAAACCTGTTCGAAGTAAACTGGACAGCTCCACCACCTGCTCGAAGGTATACAGGTCTACACAGGTGGAGCTGTAAACCTGTTCGTAGTAAATTGGACAGCTCGACCATCCTGCTCGAAATTAGTCGTACAGCTTCATCACCTCCTTGAAGTGAGTTTTACAACTCTACTACCTGCAATAAGTTGCACAGCTTCACCAAGTAGTTGTACAGCTCACAGAAATAAGTTGTATAGCTCAACCAACTGCTCTCAGGGAGATCTGAAGGGCACCAGCAGCTCATATTGAGCATTAACTACCCGATATAAGTTATACAGTAGAGATGTAGAGCTTCAAGATGTCTCTAAATAATAAGTGATCCGATATTTATTCGTACAGTCCCGATGCCTTCTCGTGTTGAGTGGTACGAGGCTCTGCACTACACCAGCCTAGTGAATTAGATGGAGATGTCGAATATCGCAGCCACATCAATGTTGCTTGTCAGAAGATTTACATAGGCCGTCCATTTTCATTATTTTCATGTCTATAATTTAAAGCACGGCGATAAACATTTCGCATCAAACACAAACAAATTTTAAATATGTTAAATGTTTCAAATGTTATTTATGTATTTTTTATCCCTCCTTGGGTTTGGGGTATTAGTTCAATTTATAAAGCAATCTATTTTATTTAGTAAACCATTCTATGAGAGTGAATTGATCGATTGCAAATTCAGCATTAATATGACTCGGGTGTCCCGCCCACCTCGAGCGCCGGCATGCGGTTGTGCGCGAGTATCTCGCGCAGGTCGTCGTCCACCAGCGCCGTGGGGCGCAGCAGGAGGCGCCTCAAGCTCGAGCTGAGGATCAGCGCTGCCACCAATCCCTGCCGGGACAAGTTGAAGTCTTTGGCCCAAGCTTTGGGTCCCACTCCTGTCATGCAGTCCACCTCCAGGACCTGCAAAGCAACATGTTTTACTACTCCTTGGCCATTTTGGGACCTTATTTGAAAGTTTGTGTTGTCACATTCTTTTATTTGTAGAATAATTTAGAATCTTGGTATGAATAGAATTTCAAGATGTAGACTTGTACATCATGTTAGGCGTTAATTTTCTCCGTTGTTAAAATTGTTGGAAGTGCTATCTTTTCCTCACACTGACCACCGCCCCTCTCACCCATCTCACCTACCTGCAGGTTTTTGAGAGTGATGGTACCAGGGGCCTGGAGAGCGGCAAGACTTTGCTTGGTGGGAACGGTGGCTGCAGGTAAGGCGAGCTCCTCCAGAAGAGGACAATGTCCTGCCAGCAGACCAAGGTCGGCCTCCCAGTAGACATCCCCTGCCAGCCTGAGTACCGTAAGACGAGCCCCGATGTTCCATGCTAGGTCGTTGAGGTTCGCTTGACTCAACAGGAAAGGTTCCTTAACCGTTATACTCAACTGGGTCAGGTTAGGGAGAAGTCTCAAATCATTCAATGTAGCGCCAGGGCCCGGATGTTCCTGAAAGGTTGCACGAATTTTTTCTAGTTTTGGACATAACTTTTTTAGAGTTTGTATCCGTGATACGGTCACACATTTGACGTTGATTTCTATCAAGTTTGTTTTGGCTCCTTCTGAAAGTTCATCAAACATTTGCAGAGGGTCAAGAATGTCACGAATTCCGAACGAATTGATCTCAGGTAGTCTGGAAAGGACGTTCAAAATGCCGTCGTCGGTGACGCTCGTCTTGTCGAGGTCGATGTAATTGAGCCGTGGTTCGTTGGTCCCCCATTTTACATTGACAACGACCCTCGCCAGCCCTTCGTCTGTGACCATCTCACTGCCGCTCACGTCAAGACTGACTAAAAACGGGCAATGACGTGCAACGAGCGTGATGACGTCATCGGTTGCTTGATGTAAGGTGATGTGCTGCAATCGTCGACACGTACGGCAGATGTCCGTGAGAAGCTTCTTCACGGGATCACCAATGGAGACCGGCAGGAAGAGCACCAACTTTTGCACTCCTTCGCCAGATCTGATGAGCAACTCCAGGTCTGGAGGCCAGTCCACTCCCTCTGGTGCCGTCTTAGGAAGGGTGATGTAGACAGGCTCCCGTACCGGCAGCTCAGACGTGAGTAGCACGAGCGCGCGATTGACAGAAGGCATCTCCCGACTTCCGTGCGACAGATGCAGACCTCCAGAACGCAGTGCGTTGTGAATCATGCATGCTCTCAGCTCCCTCGGCAGCTGAGTTAGAAATCTGTGCAGTGCAAAGACCTGAGCTTTGGGCAAGTCCCTCCTAAGGACGTACTGGACGCGTTCAAGCCAAAACTTGCAGCACATCGATGCCAGACTGATGACCTGCGTCTGCACCGCCGGCGGGTGGATGCGTTTATGGGGCGTCAGAGGTAACGCTTCCTGATGTCGGGCCAGCGCCTGGGGAAGGCGCGGCAGGGGAGGGTTCCAGGCTGCAGCCATGTTTCTTTTTGGAGTTACGATTGTTTGTTGTCTTTTCTTTATTTTTAGGCGGTGTAGCTACTTTTTGCGGATTCTATGCAAATCAATATGTAAAATTTCCGAAATCCTTCCAAAATGCAGTTATTGGTTCAAAAATCACCCCAAATATTTTGTGATGAGTCAAAATTAAATTTAAATTGAATGAACGCTGTTGTGTTGATTGAAATTATCTTTGTTTATTGTCTCCCTGTACACTGTACTGTCACCCCTAAACTGGGCCTCAACTTCAGTCAATTCAGTTAGCTTAGTCTCAATTAATCAGCTGATTTTTCAGTAGAATACCTGGCTTTGGTTCACACTGCATTGCCTGGAGAAGTCTACACTGAAACAGTGCTTTGATAAATTTTATTAGTACACATTACAAGAAACGAAGGCCGTAAGCTGTCTCTATGTAACACTAATCGATAGAGAATCTAGATCGTGAGATCGGATTAATAATAATATTGAATCACACGTTTTATCGTTTTATGAATTGCAAAGAATTCACAGAATTAAAATAATTCAGCAGGTCTTGCGGCCTACAGGCACTGCAGGTAGAGCACTGCAACCACTGCACCAGCAGCGGCTGTACAGCGCGCCAACTGCCCCCTATACGGAGCCCCCTAGAGGAGGAGGGGGGTCATTGAAAGGAGGAAGGGTTCAGAAGTAGAATATAATTCATCCAAAGAGAAAAGAGGGGCGTAAAGAAGTTGACCGGGCAAATTTTGAGAGAAAATGTGAGTGTCACTAAATGTATTTAAAGGAATTTCCATTGCTGTGTAATTCGTAAGATCGAGAATTCGTGGAATTTGAAAGAAAATCGATATAAGATTCAGATATAATTACATTACAGGAGCGAACGGAAGTGCTGGCGCTGTCAGCTGGCGTATAAATAACGCGCGGGCACTACGCCAAGCGCGGGCTGACGCGGCGACTCATTACGGGGCTCCTGGCCTGGTACCATCTGACGTCAGTACCATCTGACGTCAGTACCATCTGACGTCAGTACCATCTGATGTCAGTACCATCTGACGTCAGTACCATCTGACGTCAGTACCATCTGACGTCAGTAGGGTAACATGGGGCAGCGAGCCCACTGCGGGTCACGGGCCCAAAGCGGGTTTCCCGCTAAGTATGGCAGATATTGGTCCGTGTTCTCTACCGCCGGTCGACAGTTTCACTGGGATGAAGTGTACGGATTTACGTTTTGCTAAGAGTTTGCGTTATTAAGTTATTTGTGAATAACTGTTTAAGCCCAGATAAAAATTTTCTTGTGGCTAAATAAAATTGTTTTCGATTACTGTAGATGAAGCTTTTGAAATTACTGTGAATTATATTTTGAAAGTAAAATTTATAGGGATAATTTTGAATTCAAGTTTAGACTATTAGCTTTTAAAATAAAATGTTGACAGGATATCAATTGAAATGATACCTAGTGGGGCAACGGGCCCATGGGTGTCACGGGGCAAAGCGCCCATATGGTGGGCTCAATATCCCTCTGTGAAGTCTTGTGTTATACATCATTAGATTTGTCTCAATGACCTTTTCAAAACTATGACTAGCTTTCTGAATTACAAATTACACTTCATATTGCATGATTTTTTGATTTGCCGCCTCAAAGAAGCAGGTTCTAGTTTCTAGTTATGCGTATTTGACCCCTTATCGAGTTATTGACTCTTGCCTTGCCAAAAATTGATTTCAGCCAAAACCAATGAGCCAAAAGTTGATGAGTTTTTATGGTGTTGGCTGAAATCACGATTAGGTACGAATTCTCTGCACATAATATCTGGATTATGGACGAAACTGGAACGAAGTTTTTTTTCTGATCAACTAAATATATTTTTTCTAGTCAAAGATGCATTTTTTCATGTCAAGGATAAATTTTTATCGCAAGGATATATTTTTCAAGTCAAGGACATATATTTTTATGTCAATGAAATATTTTTCTTCACGTCAGTGATAGATTTTTTAAGCCAAGAGTATATTTTTTTAAGTTAAGGATATGAGTTTTTGAGTTGTTAATAAATGAATGAATGTCATATTTTTTATTACATTTATCTTATTTTTAACTGTAAAGTGTTGTTTTGTCATTTTAAAACGAAAAATACGCAATTGGGGTGAAGGGACCAAGGGTGGGCACCTTGCCCCAAGCCCATGGGCCCATTGCCCCAATTAAGGGTGGGGCAATGGGCCCATTTTGACACTTTTTACAAAATAGTATTTCATTAAAAATTGAATTACTCAATAAGCGTCTAATTCACATCATACATTCCTCATTAGTTGTACCTTTAAAAAAAATTACGAACCACCTCATATCAATTAAAACTTTATCAAAAATTTAGTTTAAAAAAGGGGGGGGGTTACCCTACCATCTGACGTCCTTCGTCAATGCTCTGGCATGGCAAGCATGGAATGACCAAGGCACCAGTAACAGTATTGAACATGAATGCGAAACTGGTGAACTCATGAGAGGCGTGGGCGATAAGTGTCTGAGTGAAAACATAACGTAACATAGTGATGTCGGCGCTGAAGTGTAGGCCATAGCTTCCATAGCTTTATCTAGTTTTTGAACGCGTTCATTCTTGAAGCGCCAGGCGCGATGACATCGGGGAGGCTGTTCCACATGTCGGTGATTCGAAGCGAGAAGAAATGTTGTCGCGTGGAGAAGTTGCAGCGCAGTTTCTTTTAGTTTATAGCCGCGGCACCTGGTGTTGGTTCTTGTTTCAAATTCTAGTAATCATTCGGTGACCTTGTATAAACCATGAGTATACTTGTATACTTCAATGACGTCCCCACGCAGACGTCGAAAACTGAGGCTTGGAAGCTTCATAATCTTTAATCTTTCTTCATAGGACTTGCCCTTCAAGCCTGGAATTATCCTTGTTGCACGTCTTTGAACATTCTCTATTAAATTTTTGTCCTTTTCATTTCTCGGTTACCACACAACGTTTCCAAACTCTAAATTCGGGCGCACTACAGCAACAAACAACTGATTCATCGCTTCTGCATCTAGGAAGTCGTATAAGCGTGTGATTAGTCCAAGAAGTTTGTTGGATGTGTTATTTCACAATATCTCACAACAAAGAATCGATACTAAATATTATCATCACCGATTCTTTAATTACCGCACAAATACTACTCATCTTAATTTAAACTCGTTAAAACGTGGCAAAGGGTTGAGTTTACTGCCTTTGTGGTATACTATAAGCAATTTAATATTATTTGAATATATATTAATAACCTGACGAAAACAATTAACTTGAATGATTCACCCAAAGACACAAATTAACGGTATGATTTACCTTATCATTTTCGTCAGCCCCGCTGATGCAGCCAAGCTACATCAGTCATCGCTGATACGGTCGCCCATGACTCAGCAGCGCTGCTTCTTGCGCCACTATTGCTCTAGTGGCCACGTTAGGTGCCGGTGTCTGCTCCGCCTGTTCCTTCAATTACCGAAAGATTTCTTTTTGTGTGGACAATTCTAAGCTAATTAAGAGGTAAGGCTGATGTTAGACTAAATAACTCATTAAAATGTATGATTCTCGCTTGTACCTTTTAGTAGTTCAGTATAAATACTGTAAATGGCTTAACACGTTCACCTTATGTGTTATACCTACTAGTTTGGTTTAGTCAGGAAGATATCTTCGTCTAGTTAGAACATCCAAGTGGTGTACAAGCGTTATGAGATGTATTGAAGTGTGAATTGTTATTAATACAAATATAATTCCGTGATGTGGAGAAACATGGATGTGAAGACACGATGTTGCTAAGTTTACACCTCCATGTTAGATCCGCTGCAGCCACAACCCCCACAACCGCGATGCTCGTTCAAGGTCACGTCTCGTTCACTTACAAACTTACTCGTTATATTCAATGACGAAGAACTTATCGGCTCTGATTAATTTGAGAATTTATTTGTATTCGAACATCGTTGCGTGAGGAGGCAACTTACAAGACGTGATCTGCTTCAATCAAGAATTTCTGAACCAACGTTATCACAGTTGAGCTTTATCAGCTCGTACTACTCTATTGTCTGACGCTGACCTACCTCATTATCAGCTAACTAGTCGCGTTATCCAAATCTAGAGAAATATAAATATATTTAATATATACATAATTATGAATAAAAGACTTATTCTTAATTACTTACTTTAGGTTTATAATACTGAGTACTTTACTAGCCTTCTATTCCGTATCATCAAACTCATGTGCGTAAAATGTTTGTGGTAGCTTGGTGATGCGCGTTGGAGGTTTGAAGGAAAGCAATTTAATCAAATCACGAGTGTTGATATTAATTTCCTAAATTGAAATTTCATGTATATTTACTAAAAATTTGAATACAAATAAATAAATATATATAAATTTATATAGTTTTATGATATAACTTATAACCCTTAGAAAGCGATACAGGTACGATTCAAACATCATGACACTACAGCGATTTGTGCAAACCTGACGACAGACGAAATAAAAGGTGAGCAGGTAACAAAGAACAATCGCAATGTACCTAAACAGTTAGCAGATGACTAATGTTTTGTCAGCAGGTTGCAAATGATAACTCGATCGAACTCGATCGACAATTCTACGGACCCGCCTGCGGACTCGCGCAACTGGGACACTCATAATTCCTTCAATACCTAACGGATCTGTATGAATTTTGGAATGTGAGTATTAATTATCGATACGCTGCCGCAGGAATTATTACAGATTTTTGCATGAATTATTTCCTAACCTAACCTATCCTAACTTAACCTAACCTAACCCAACCCAACCTAACCTAACCTAATAATAAGTCATGTAAAAATCTGTAATAATTCCTGCGGCAGCGTATCGATAATTAATACTCACATTCCAAAATTCACACAGATTCGTTAAGTATTGAAGGAATTATAAGTGGCCCAGCTGCCTAAAAAATACGTTTATTGGTTTTAATTAAAAAATAATTCATGTAAAAATCTGTAATAATTCCTGCGGCAGCGTTTCGATAATTAATACTCACATTCCAAAATTCACACAGATCCGTTAAGTATTGAAGGAATTATGAGTGGGGCAGTTGCTTAAAAAATACGTTTATTGGTTTCAATTTAAAAATAATTCATGTAAAAATCTGTAATAATTCCTGCGGCAGCGTATCGATAATTAATACTCATATTCCGAAATTCATAGAGATCCGTTAAGTATTGAAGGAATTATGAGTGGCCCAGTTGCGCGAGTCCGCAGGCGAGTCCGTAGGCGGGTCCGTAGAATTGTCGATTCAGTTAATTTATTAGGTTATAAGCTCAGCTATACCCTACCTCTCTTATCACAGCGCTATAGCTAGTGGGCGACCAAAACTGCAAGCCACGTTGGCCACTCACTGGTTCGAATTTTGCTTGAATGTCTTCAGTATGCAGACCTTAAATGAGTATGAATAATTGGGAAGCATAAATTATATGTGAAAATTTAACGTGATAACCAATTATATTCTAGACAATTCTCCTAACCATCTAGCACCCAAATGATGAAGCATCGTGGACGGATCAAAAATCAATAGAAAATGGGTTGTTGATGTAAAATTTCCCATGAAGTAAAGAACGTTCATCGAATTTCACTTAGACATAGTAAATCAAAATTTAGGGTAAAAATAAGTAGTGTTAAGCAATTTAGGGCATTAAATCTCCCGCTGACCCGCAATTCGCCACATTGTTGAACACAGTCACTTGAAGTTTGAAGTTTTGAACTAATAGTCGCGGTCTCGCCGATCTCTTTGTCTGTGACACTGTGTGCGTTGAGCAACGGTCACGTGCAAGATGACGGTTTCAGTTTGCCAAATTGGTAAGGAGGCACTGGCTTATATTTTCCCTGCTTTCGACTTCTTTTGTCGTCCCTTAAGACTTCAGATGCAACGAGACGTTCAAATTATTCTAATGACTAATACGCAGTCATGGCGAATCGCCATGTGGAATCCTTGAAGGTTGAGCACTTAAGCGTTTAGGGTAGAATTTGAAAGCTGAATATTTAAACCGGCATTTGAACGGAGATAATAGAATAATTGAATCGAGTTGTATATGTGTCTTAATATCTTGATGAACCAAAAAGGCTAGGTCGCTAGGGTGATCGTAGAGTGAAAGATTTATTTCATTGGAAGGGCCTAGCAATTCCGAATAGTTATGGAGTTATGGTTTGGTGCGGGACAAACTTCTGGCACTGAGCGATCGTCCAACCAGTTACCCCCCACTTCTAACCATTTATGTGCTTGTTATTATTCCACTGTGAATTATTTATAGGCGGTAAAACGTTAAATCGACGAAGAATAACGCCGATATAAGTGACTAAGTCCTTCATACTTTTTGGGGGGTTAGGTACGATAAATTTATCTGAATCACTAAAATTGAAACTTGAAAGACTCAAACACTTCTATGAAATGATCTCAATTCAAACCTTAACGCAGTATTCGATCTTATTCGTAATTTTCCCGGCTAAGCAAGCATTTTTCCGAAGTCGCTCCCGTAACGACGATGTTAGTCACGTTGAACGTTGCGTCAATCTTTGCTCTGTTCACGGGCTAAAACGAACAGGATTAGCGGAATGAAGTGTATCGTGGATTGGATTGCGTACTGCGGCCATGACGGAAGACTGCTGCGACCCCTTGTCAATAACGTGGGATAAACGCATCGGTATTTCTATTCTTCTGTTTGGAGACATTTTAGAAAATTAATTGTACTTTTGAAGACGAGTTTTTATTGAAAACTTTTGAAGTGAACTTATCACTTATTAAGTAAGGCGGTGCTCCAGAAAGTCGCTATAATGGTAATACCGTACTGCGTACTCGATTGTTCTGGTACTGCTGCTAGCAGAGCACAAATGGGCTCTTTGACGCTCCTACCTTGACATTCTACATTATGCCGAATCAATCTGATTTTATTATCATTCATCTTTTCGTATCATCGTAATTGGACAGGGTGAGTTTTCGTGACTGTTACCGCGGAAGTACGTAATTTATGCATTATTTCTGAATGTCGTTTCTATGATTCAATTTTGCCTATTGGTGCCGCTTCATCATGGTAACTGGAAAATGGCGTGACGGAAAATACTACCAAATATTTCTATAAGTATTTCCCTACATAGTGGCAGTAAGGCCTAATGGCCTATTTTTGTAGTACCGTATGGCTTGAAAGTTAGGTATAGTGGCCGTTCTCAAAGGAGTTAGTGTGATTGTGCTTCTACTGGAGAAATTACGTGATATGATGTTACTCACGGTCACGAGTCATGACCGTCTCAACTGAAATGTTTCCTGAACCTAACGCTGTTTGGTTGCCTCGGCAGATATGTGGTGGTTCGTGGTGACGGTGCTGGTAGTGCTGTTGACAGCGCTGATATTGCACGCTTGGAGGAAACAACATTACTGGCAGAGGAGAGGAGTACCCGTGCTTCCCTACCTGCCTCTGGTTGGACATTCCATGTACAACATGAATGTGCTCAAACCTCGACACCTTTGGAGGGATGAGGTCAGTTGTTTCTTTAACGGAAACGTTTAATTTATAGGGTAAGAATAACGTATTGAAAAGTAGCTCGCCTGTCTTCCAGAGTTGTAACAGATTAAATCTACCCTTGCTTAACGGAATGTAATTCAATATATTTAGCTGTCTTGCAATGATCGCGTATGAGAAATTTCATGTTGCGAGGAATGGAGCTTGTGATTGCATTATTACTACGAAGTCTTCTTGAAATTGAATGATATTCAACGTCTGATTTGACGTTTCAATTGAGGTTCAAGCCGAATATTCAGGAGCTTCTTACAATTGAGTGTTTTTTTTTGTATTTTTTTTTGTATATATTAATGGGGGAGATGCATTCACCGGACATCAGTTATGGGACTAATAGTACACATTTATGAGACTAAATATGCCTTTAATTTCCAGGAATACCTCAAGTCTCGCGGAGAAAGATACGTCGGACTTTACGATTACCTCACCCCTTCCTTATCGATACAAGACCCACAACTTATCGTCTCGATATGTATTAAGGATTTTGACCACTTCGTCGACCGCCGTAATATGGACCTGACAGGCACAGATTCTGAGGTGATGAACGACATTCTCACTAACGCAACAGGTAATCACTGGAAGCACATCCGAAACCAGCTCACCCCCACTTTCACCTCGGGCAAGATGAAGGATATGTTCCACCTCGTGCAGGAACAATCAACTACGTTGATGAGCAGCTTGAGACAGCGCAGAGATGCAAATTTTCTTGTGGACGTCAAAGAAAGCTTCAACAGCTTCACCATGGATGTAATAGCGTGTTGCGCCTTTGGTCTTGAGACGAACACGTTGCGTGGCGAAAACAAGGAGTTCATAGAAAAAGCTGCAAATTTGTCCAAGCTTACATTTAAGGCAATGGTAAAGTTCTTCTCGTTCCTGCTATTCCCAAAACTGGTTAAGTTTTTGCGAATTAGTTTGGCATCTCCTTCCTTGATTTATATGGAAAAAGTGGTTCGGGATACAATGGCTGCTAGGACCAATGGAGTTCGCAGAGGTGACTTTTTGGACTTGCTGCTGGATGCCAGGGAGTCGACGAAGGAACATGAGGGCGAGGTCGATCCTAATGGGATGAAAAGTACGTGACTGGTTGGAATTATATATTGGCGCCTTATTGCAACCCGATTTTTCATCAGTTAAGCTTCGTTTTAGCAACGAAAGGTCGGAAGTGTAATTTTTGGCTTTGATTCAATGGCTTCAAAGAATAGTTTTATCTAACAGCGTGTGTTATTTAGTAAAAATCAACAACAAAAATTCTATTGACATTAGAAGAAGATATATTTACAAAGTACCCTTTTGGGTAATACAGACAATCACTACAAATAAGTCCTATATTACAGAAGGTCCGTTGAAAGCATAATTAAATGGGCAGAGATTGGTTTGGTGCATTTCTGAAGCACTCGAACAAATATGGCACGTTATTGAAGTTATGACATTAGGCTGCACATTATAAAAGTGCCCTTACCATCGGTTTCATGTAACAGAAAGTGAGGTGCCATCCGGAAGCAAGTGACAATAAATAAGCGACAATAGAAAGTGAGCTGACATTCTCTTTTACTCGCAGAAGGCGGATTGAAGGACTCGACCATCGTGGCGCAGTGCATCCTCTTCATCCTAGCGGGCTACGACACCACTGCCAACACCCTCTGCTTCGCCGCAGCGCTCCTCGCCCGCAACCCTCAATGTCAGGCTCGTCTCAGGGCGGAAGTCGCGGCCAGAATTGAGGGTAACGAGGGCGGCAAACTCACCTACCAGGACGTCATGGAGTGCAAGTACCTCGACGCTGTACTCAGTGGTGAGGGCTGACGTCAATACCAATGTCACCATGATTGCGTCTCGTGTATCTGTCCTTTAAAGCGTCAATATGACGATTCCAGTTAGCGCTTTTCATCCGATTTTAAACGAGGGCGGCAAACTCACCTACCAGGACGTCATGGAGTGCAAGTACCTCGACGCTGTACTCAGTGGTGAGGGCTGACGTCAATACCCATGTCACCATGATTGCGTCTCGTGTATCTGTCCTTTAAAGCGTCAATATGACGATTCCAGTTAGCGCTTTTCATCCGATTTTGATGGAATGTGTTCAATTAGTTACTTGTGGCGCCAATGCACTTGGAATCTTATAGTAAAAGGTATAAGTGGGACGGAGAGGTTCCATTTTGAGGTAGTTAGTGGCAATCTTTGAGGCGCAATTGAACTTGGATTGAATATATTTCAAGATGGCGATGTAATACTTTTGTAAATGATGGTTGTGCCCTCATTTGAAAAGCCCCTAATGTCAGGTTAGGCTATCAGAATGCGTTAAATGTAGGCAGTTTTGGAGTCAGAATACGTTTAATGTTTGGTGGTCCTTTTTAAATTTGGGAGGCCCTGGCCCTAACGTGAGAAGAGACAGGTGGTCACTCGCAGGGTTTTAGAGGTTGTCTCCTACGGAGCAAGACCGTTGCAGTTGGAGTGAGGGATATGATTATAGGTTGCTGTAGGTTTGGAGTGTGATGAGGATTGCCGAGTATTTGTGTGTGGCTACATCGTACCTCCTAGCTGTGGACTAGGGAGGAGATAAATACGAGTGAGGGAATTGTAGGGGACGATGTTTGCGCTGAACACGGGCACGGTACAAAATGGTTTAAAAAGCTGTATGAAGATAAAGGACTTCTGAGGACTCGCGTGTTTGAGGCTTTCAATTGTGATTGAGGTATGGGGGTAGCAGTAGCTACTCCAGAGTCAGCCAACATCTGGAGTAGTATCATAACCAGTGGATCATGTAGTGGTGGAGGTATAAGAGGCCCCAATCATGGAGGTAAGGGTACATTGGTCGACGCTGCCGGTGTCTTGGCATCGGTCAACAGTGGCTAGCCCGTCGCAGTCAGGGTCTGTGTTGTCAAGAATAGATGATAAGAGCGCTTACCTCCGTCAGCCAATTACTGATGATTGATTAAAATAGATCTACTAATCACAGACCAGGAATCGTCTTATGCACGTACCCTAGCGAGTTTTGATTGAATGGGCTCATGGTGCGAAGGTTGAAAAATAGTGATGTATCGTGAATGGCTCGATTTATTGTCATGTATGATGTAGGGATCTTAGCTATATATGCGGGGTGCAAGAGCCGCTCCTGATTCTCGACCGCAAGAAATGAGAGACAAGGCGATAGAATACGCCTGGATCTGCGTTTCCTTGGTTGACCTAAGAAGTCGATTAGATGATTTTTACACACGGACGTAGTGGTGATGGTGGAGACAAGGTGGGCGAGGAACTGGAATCCTCGTGTGTAGGTCTAGTGTTTCAAGTGGAATAATTTCAATTTAATTTAGCATTAAATTTAGTTCCACTCGTTAGGTGCATTAGTTCAAGTTTGTTTTTAATATTATTTGATTACTTTATATACCTATGTCGATAATCCGAAACTACGTATAAGACGATCGAAATGTTTCCATTCCTCAATATGCTTCGCAAGCTCAATCAAATGAAGATGTAAACTTCATAGTTTACTAAAAATACTAAATGTAAATAATTTTGTATTCATCAAAGTTTGCAAGACGACTTTTCTTATACAAAAGCAACTCATTGTGTGTTTTCATGCCTCAGAAACGCTGCGCATGTATCCTCCGGCTCATCTGTTGGAGAGAAAATGCACCAAGGACTACAGGTGATTGGTGATGTGTTTGTGGTACTTCATTTGTGGTGCTGTGGTGTCCCAAAGATTTGGAGCTTATATATTTTAAAGCCTTGACCTCAGTGGAGCTACAAATCGTGTTGATATATCTTGTATTTAGTGTCTCTTCCATAAAAACGGATGGCAGTTAACGTTAGTGGCATCTATAGGCAGGTGGCATGCGTTTGTGACTGTAGTTTAACTGGTGAGCGGTCGAACAAAATGCATCCAACTTCTGCTTATACAGACGCTACACTCGCGTCAGCGACGGTACGCGCAGAGAAATAAGTAAGACTTTCTTCAAGTAGCGATGCACTTCCTATCCTTGTATGGGTCAACTTGACAGTTTTTCACGGCACAAAGGCGTATCAGTGCTACATCACTATTCTATGCTTGTAAGTTTCTCACCGCCCTGAGGGGCTGTCGCTTGCCAGCGTCAATAGGGTTAAGAAATTTTTACCTACGCGTTGTGTCCTAATTTCTTTATAGCAGGATCGTTTGTAGCTTCAGAAATGGTAGAGCTTTGTGTTCATTGTACAGTGTTTTTGAGTTTATTGTTACACACTTAATTTTGTGTTTATTGTACTGCCAAAGTGTCGATGTCAATTGAACCATTTATCGTGCGTGCACTAGATACATTTTAATTGTTGCGTTGTGCTGGGCTTTTTGAAGTTTTAATTCGAGAGCCGCCATATCTGCGTATGACCGACACTGCAGCTCAAACTCGTCGTGGGAGATTTCACCTTCCAGAGAGCACATCGCTCTGAAATCCACGACCTTGATTGAGACGCAAATTTTATTATTTCATTAACGTTATCCAAGTACAAATTTTATTTGTATCACGGTCTGCCATTAGGAGTAAAACATTTAAATATATTGCGGCTGAATAAATGCTGCATTTTGTTGATATGCAGTACTTTCTTACTGTGAATGAATGTGTATTATTATTGATTTTAAACAAAAATGCTTTCGCGACAGCGTGCCCGACTCGGACGTGAAGATCACGCAGGGTATGTTCGTGACCGTGCCCGTGTACTCCCTGCACCGCGACGAGCGCTACTTCCCCGACCCCGACACCTTCCTACCCGACCGCTTCATGCCCGCTACTAAGAACGACATCCCGTCCGGGGTGTACCTTCCCTTCGGGGCTGGCCCCCGTATGTGCATCGGTGAGTCCACTATTGAGTGACCACGCTTCGTTCTACTTACAAATCATCTTAAGATAGTTTTTAAATATTTTTCTGTATTGTAGCTCTCTGTTTATGGAGTAACAAGCCAATTCCATGACCTCGACCTGCCGGACGCGTGTGCAACTGCTCATTATTTATCATTGTTTCAATTTCTTCTAATTTCAACATCTATTCATCACTAATATCTCCTTTTTATTCATATTATAAACATCATGCTTAACACAAAGCATAGCATCAAATCGCACACGTCTACACATTGTTTTCAACATTTATTTGATGATCGTTGAATATCTATTTCCTGCGGACAAATGCTATGAGAATCACTATTTCTGTGATAGCAAAATCATAAGATTCACGATGCTGGCTCATTCTTGTACCTCATCTCTGAATGGTTAATCTCGTGTAAACTTAAGTACGGATAAGACTGTCAGCTGGCTTGTCGAAATGCTTTTGAATTATTTCATCCTATATCTTTTCTCAAGTTTCTGATACTTCAAATAAGTTTTCGTTCATCTTGCACTTTTCAGCGGAACGCTTCGCTCGCATGGAGGCACGACTCGCACTCGCTGACCTCATCATGAACTTTGACCTCTCAGTCGAGCCGGGGTCAGAGGAGCTCAAAGTTGCCAAGTCGTTCGGCATCCTGCGACCTGATCCTGCGAGCCTGAACCTCATCTTGAGAGACGCGGCATCCAGCGCGGCCGGTGCCACAGGCGCTGCCTAGCATATTCTGAGTTCTACCTAAATTCTTGATTTTCGCCTTCGTGTTTCGATGTTGCGTCCAGTAAATGTTAGTTACAAAGTCTGAAATACATTTGATTCATTATGCCGCACCTCTGATGCGGACTGTCATCCACAGCCAGAGACACGAGTAATGGATTGGCTTTTGTGTTCGTCGAGGCGGCTATATTCGTCATGGGTGAAGTGATTACTCGGTTATTTTGCTTTATTAATTATGATAACATATTGGACCACATAGTATGTGGTACTACAAACTGAGTAGTACCGTGACCTGACGCTGCAGGCTTGCTGCGACTATCGTGAATCCATGAGTGGCATCCTGCGTATGGGGCCCCGACAGTTCATGAATACAAAGACGTAAAGCTTGATGGTTGTGTCTAGAAGGCTAATAGAATTATATAGGCTGTGCAGAGAGCCCTCGTATTAGTCTTTTCAGCAGTGGCTGGTTAATGTTGAGAAAAGATGCAGATGAAATTGATATCTGATAAACTGAAACCCACCAAACAACTATTGAATTATCTTCTTGTACGGTAATGGTAAATAAAAAGCATGGGACGTAATAGTTCTGTTTTAAAGACGTTCCTCCATAATTCTTAGGGTACGACAATTTCTTCCTTAGCGACCATCGCAATTTGATGACGGGCAGACGCTCGATACACGAGCGGCCCGTAGGACCGCTAACTGTACATCTTGTGATTAGTCTACACATGTCTTTGATCTTTAATTAACACATTAATTATAAAGATCTCATGACGACCGTCATTCCAGCGACGTTATTGTTGGCATCACTCGGCAGAATCGCTAATTCCGATCGAGTGCCAAGATTAAGAAGAGA